GGGGGGTGGGGGGGGCAGGGGTTAGCCTGATTTATCTCTCTATTAGTTTACAAATTGTGGGCAATTGGGAAGTGCTGGCATTTCCCTGCATACAGATTCCACTAAGCACAAAATCAATGTGGCAGGATGAAGTGCCCTGTTTAGGCAAATCTGGAGATATGAGAAACCTCAGCTGTGCCTTTTAAGTTTATGAATAAAAAGGCTGCTAATTAAACAAGGGAAATAAATGACCCACTAAACCAATGGAAGCCACCAATCCAAGGAGCAGCTCTCCGTTAAGCAGAGAGAAAGCTTACACTGAACCAGCATCCTTGGAGGGGGGAAAAAAAAGCCCATAATAGTTGGAGGCAGAAATACCTTTCCATCCAAAAAGGTAAAATTAACTCTATAGACATAGAAACTAACTCAGATATGGTTTGTTTTCAGAGTTGATTAAGTCTGTAGCAGTACCCGAGCTGCAGAGGATGGCTCTGGTGCTTGCTGTCGTTTGTTGCTGGGTTCATGCAAAAAGGCATATTGGTGCCTGTCTGTACACACAAGTCTGTATAGAAATGTCTTCAAAACCAGCAAGAAGCAGCACCCCGGATTTACTCCCATTAACTGAGCACCAAAGTAACAACATCCCTTCATTACAAACAGGAAGATTTCTAGTGTTGACTCCAATTCCTTGACAGTTTCTCATGCACAGAAAATCCCCAGGTACAGAACAAAGTTATGGCTTTAAGCTGAAAAAGGGGAGATTTAGGTTAGATATAAGGAAGAAATTCTTCCCTGTGAGGGTGCTGAGGCGCTGGCACAGGGTGCCCAGAGAAGCTGTGGCTGCCCCATCCCTGGCAGTGTTCAAGGCCAGCTTGGACACAGGGGCTTGGAGCAACCTGCTCTAGTGGGAGGTGGCCCTGGCCGTGGCAGGGGTTGGAGCTGGAGGAGCTTTAAGGTCCCTTCCAACCCAAACCAGTCTGGGATTCTATGATATGTGTAAGGCTCCTGCTGGGAGTACAACCAATGCACTTTACAAACAGTGAGCCTAGAAACTTAGAGAAACTTGTCACTACTTTGGCGGTGCAAAGCTGAGACCAAAGGCAGTGGAAACCCTGGCTTTAGGTTCCTACCTAAATCATGTGTATTCTGTAGACCTGTACAGGCTGGGCTACCAAAACCTGTGCAATGTCACAGGGAAAGCATCAGAAGATGGCACTTCTGGGACTGTCTGCTGGTGTTGAACCCTATCCATTTGATCCGGCCATTCCATGGGACAAGCGTGCTGCCCTCACCCCCCCACCCTGGTAGGACACTCACCACAAACGTATACTGCTGCGTGGACTTGGCTGTGAACTCCGGTTTGCACTCTCCGATGCACAGGAGCACTGGGCCAGAGCTGATCCCTGGAAGAGCCTGCCCCATTTCACAGACGATCCTGGAAGCAGAAATGCCACAGGGAGTCTTTGGCAGGAGGTGCCAGTAGCACCCATACAGGGCTGGCTTTCTTTTTCCTTCCCTTTTTCCCCCTCCCCTGCTTTAACTTTGGTATCTACCTCTTTGGAGGAAGTTAATTACTGAGTCTATTTTTACCCCATGTTATAATTTAAAGGGGGAAAAAAAAAAATCAAAATTAGACATAATTATTACAAGCTGTAAACTCCAGAGCAAAGCAGAGCTCTAATGGCAATATATTAGCCAGCAGCAAAGTGAGTGCGAAGTCCTCAGAGTAACAGATGAGTTCATTAAGGGAACAGCTCACGCTGCAGTCTCCCAGTTAATCAAAAAAGGAGAAACCTGCTTGGGAATGATAGAGACAGCCACGGAGAGCAGCATTTACAGGGGAGACACTGATCCGCTCCTCCCATGGTCCAGCTCAGCCCTGTGGGCACTTAAGGACAGGGAGAGCTGCTGGGTTTACTGCAGCTGTCGAGGCTGGAAGATGAGGAAACAACTCATCGCCCTGTGGGTATGGTACATAATCCAGGGGATGTGTAACATCAACTGGAGATGAGACCAGGTGAATGCCTGTCATGCTGGCAGGTTTAAGAGAGGTTTTCAAAGGAATGTCAGCTGGTGGGGCTCTCTAGTTGTACCTAAAGAGGATGGATGCTGCTCCTGCAGCAACAGTGGGAAGACAAATCCAAGAGCATCCCATTGGGCATTGCAAATCTGAGGACAGGAGTAACCTGCTTTGGGGCAGGGGAACACAGGGATGAGACACTTGGTGTCTGACCCTGACAGGGCGCCAGAGGAAGAGCCAGCACATCATTTCCCACATAGGGCTGAAGGCACCTCTGCAGAGCAGCAGGAAAACTGCTCACTCCTCTGCCAGTCATGTGCAACACATAAAAGGCTCCAGTTTGTGAAGGCAGCATGTCAGCTGCCTTCAGCAGCACTGAATTAACTACAAATAACATAAAATAGACTAAAGGAAGAAAAACAACCTGCAGATGAGCATGCACAGGTGATGCCAGGAGGCCTAACGAAATACACACATGTAGTCAAGAGCTCGAATGTGAACGTCCTTATTGCTGCACATCAAAACGAGTTGCCTAGAGAGATGCTGCCTTTGGAGAAGAGAAACTGAAGCGTCTCAGCTGAGTGCCTTCATCTGCCACGTGCTCCTCTGCCTTCGAGCCAGGCATCGCCCATGAACCTCTCTCTGCTATCTCATTGCTTCTCCTCCTGCAGACTGGCAGGGTTGCTGTGCTGCCAGGCAGTGGGCTAGGATGGAGGGCTGGCATTTGGGAGCAATCATCTCTGTTCCTGCCAGCCCACAGGCAAAGGAAGGTGAAGTGATTCCTGACACCCCACGGGCAGGAGAGGATAGTGGAGGTTTTCTCCCACAAGAAGCAAAGATACACTGAGTGCTATATATGGGGGGGGAACACTGAATACTATATATCTACTGAATATATAATATTCAGTTGAAAGAGGGGAGATTTAGATTAGATCTTGGGAAGTTCTTCACTGAGGGTGGTGACGTACTGGCACAGGTTGCCCAGAGAAGCTGTGGCTGCCCCATCCCTGGCAGTGTTCAAGGCCAGCTTGGACACAGGGGCTTGGAGCAACCTGCTCTAGTGGAAGGTGTCCCTGCCCGTGGCAGGGGGTTGGAACTGGAGTAGCTTTAAGTTCCTTCCAACCCAAACCAGTCCGGGATTCTACAATTTGCCAGTAAAGCAGCTGCTGTACAGCACCAGCCATCATAATGGGGCATGAGATGGGGCACAAGCAACCTGATACACCTGATCCCAATTCCTGATAAAAACCAAATTCCCAGCAGGTACCTTGTTACAAAATGATGCATTCAGCAGAGCAGTAGGGTGCTGATTGCTGGGCTAAGTGGCCCTTTCACCAACATTAACCTAATTGCTGGCTGATAGATTGTCTGGCTGGAGCATATGGTGAGTCATTACAGTCTTGGAATTCAGTCTGCCCACAGAACCCTTAAGAGGGTCCTTTTATCTGTTTTCATCTTTAAAAGGCAGCTCTCCTGCTAATGCTTGCTGTTATCTGCCCAGGGTAAATGTTTTAATGATGTTAACAAACTTCGAAAGCTCAAGAGCTGTAATTAGAGTCATGATTATAAAATCAGGGTTTCATACCATCAAAGGATGATAATTTCATAATCTTCCATCCTTTATTTGAAAAATAAAACAAAACACTGCTCAGCAGAACAGCCCAAACCGCTAGCAGTGACAGCACTAGTGGTGCAGTGGTTGGAGCTGTTCCTACAATAACATCAGTGATGCTCTGCATGCCCAAAGTACCCATCATAGTGGAGCTGCTGCAGCAAGTCCAGAGGAGGCCATAGATGCTCTGAGGACAGGTAGGGACAGGACAAGGGGAATGGCTTTAACCCACCAGAGGGGAGACTTGAGATGAGCTCTGAGGCAGAAGCTCTTCCCTGTGAGGGTGCTGAGGCGCTGGCACAGGGTGACCAGAGAAGCTGTGGCTGCCCCCTCCCTGGCAGTGTTCAAGGGCCGGGTGGGCACAGGGGCCTTGGGGCAC